TCGAGCACCGCCTCGATGCGCCGCCGCTCCTCGGTGTCGGGCTTGAGCTTCTTGTCCACCAGGCCGCGCGTCAGGCTGCGCGCCAGCTTGGCGGCCTTGGCCTCCGCGGGGTTCTCCCGACCCACCTCCGCGTCGTGCAGCAGGATGAGCGGCCCCGCCGCGCCGCCGCCTGTGGTGGCGGCGCCGGGCGCGGGCGCGCCGCCGGGCGCGCCCGCCAGCGGCGTGCCGATGGCGTCGGCGGTGGCAGTGGAGGCGGCAGCGCCGATGCCGGCAGAGTGGCCGGCCACCGAGGCCTGCTGGTAGATGACGGCACGCGGGAAGCTGGGCAGCTCCACCTGCACCTGCACCTGGCCGGGGGCCACGCCAGGGCCTGCCCGCCCTCCGCCTCCTCCTCCACTTCTGCTGCTGCTGCCGTCGCCGCTGCCGCCGCTGCTGGGCGCCGCCCCCGCCGCCGCCTGCTCCGCCTCCTCCACCCGCCGCTGCTGCTCGCGGCCGCGCGCCTCCTCCACCACCCGCAGCGCCAGCCGGTCCAGCCACTCCACGTGCTGCACCTCGCCCCGCTCAAACTGCTTGAGCACGCGCTCCACACGCCTGGCGGGGGAGGGCACAGCAGGGCACAGCAGGGCAGCGGGTGGAGAGGCAGCAGGTGTGGTGGGCTTGGTGTGAAGGCAAGCAGCAACCCCGAAGCAGGAGGCAGCGGCGTGCAGGCACGCATCATGCACGCGGTGCCGCTCCGGCAGGGCGGTGTCGGGCAGCGGCCACCTGCGCGGCGGCACTCTGCGGCGGCGGGCGCTCACCCCAGCTCTCCGCGCTGCGCCACGGGCACCTTGCCGGGCGTGGCGCTGGGCCAGCCCGCGTCCGCTCCCCTGCCCAGCCACAGCTGCAGCTCCTGGACGCCACTCTTGAGGCGCCCCTTCTTGCTGAACAGGCGCAGGGTGGTGCCGCCCAGGGCGCGGCGGGGCACGCCCTCCCGCGCCTCCCACACCGTCAGCGCCAGCTGGGCGTCGTGCCCCAGGTCGCGGTACTTGATGGGGAAGGACAGCCAGGCGTCCCAGCTGGCCCCCGCAGGCCCTGCCTCCGCCCAGGGCGTGCGCGCCGGGATGCCGAGCGGCTCGCCATAGGAGCACACCCGCCCCTCCACGCACAGCGCCGAGGGGCGCGGCGCGCAGCCGCTGTCGCCCTCCCCGCCTGCCGCGGCCTCGCGATAGGCTGGCAGGCAGCCCAGCAGCCGGTCCACACGCACCTGGACCTGCAAGGGGGGGAGCTCGGCGGGTGGCGGTGGGAAGGCGGCGGGAGGGCTGGTGGCGCAGTGCGCCCGGGCAGGCTGCCGCCTACTTGGCAGCGCTGGGCGCACACCTGGATGTTCAGGTCGCAGCTGGCGTAGAACTCAAACTCCACTGGCGTTTGCTGGGCGTCGCCGATCGAGCCCATAGCCGGCCCGCCCTCCAGGGGCCGCTTGTGTGCAGAGGCTCAGTGATCGAGGTGATCCTGAAATGAAATGAAGCTCTGGAGCTCTTTGAAGCACTTTGATAGCGCGCCAAGCTGGCCTGACAGGGCAGCAGGTGCAGGTGCCTTGACATCGATCGCAATGGGAAGCGAGCCTCACCCAATTACACTCATCTCCAGCCCTTGGCGTCACCCAGCAGTTCTGCCGACACCGCCGATACCACCGGTCAACGAGACATCCCAGCGCCCCATTGCCTCGGCGCTCCCCGCGCCTGTGCCAGCGTCGGAGGCGCGCCATGTCCTCCCCCAGTTCGCCCGGCCTCGCCGGAAGGTGCGGTGGAAGGACGGCAGGAGAGTGCGGCGGCGGGTGGGCGCGAGGCGGCGGTTGCCACAAACGAGCGCACTCATGCTTGGCTGCAGGCACCCCCACATCAAAGCCCGCAACTCCTACGTGGATGAGACGCTGTTTGGGCGCCCCCGTCCCAGCAGCTCATCAAAGAGCGGCAGTGCCTCTCCCACCAAGCCCGGCATTGCGCCGGGCAGGTGCGGCGGCTCTGCCAGCAGCAGCCCATGCTGCAGCCCGGGACGACCTGCGGCAAGCTCTGGCGCCGCAAGCCCCGGCAAGGCTGGCAGCGTGGTGCTGACCAAGGCGCAGCTGGACCGCATGCTTCAGGTGGGCGGGCCAGCGGGGCGAGTGGTGGCGACCAGCAGTGCGCTGGGGTTTACCTGCTGGTTGATGTGTTCTGGTGAGAGCTGTTGTGAACCTATTGGCTGTTCAGAGCAACCTATGCACACACAGCCTGCACTGGCCGCCCTGCCGCCTGCACCTGCCGCCGGCCGCAGAAGTCGCCCATCCTGACGACGGCAGAGCTGGAGCAGCGGCGCATGGAGGCGGAGGAGAGGCTTGAGGAGGAGCTGCGGCAGGCCAAGGCTGTGCGGGCGGGGCGTGAGGCGGCGGCAGCGGCCGACACCGACAAGGCACTGCCCAAGAGCGAGATGGAGCGCATGCGGGAGAGGGAGCGGAGGGAGGTCATCAACAGGGCGCAGCTGGCGCTGCTGGTGCGTGGTGGCGGGCAGCTGGCTCAAGCCAGGGCAGCTTGCAGCCAAGGCACAAAGGCTGCTGTTGGAGGGCACGGCCCTGCGCTTGACGCAGGCCCCGCTGCGTACTGCTGCCGCTGCGTGCCGCGCAGGAGGAGAAGGAGGAGGTGAAGCAGATGAACCAGATGATTCAGTTCAGCAAGTGCATGGCCACGCGGGACCAGCAGGTGGCGGAGAAGGCGGCGGCCAAGGCGGTGGCGGCGCAGGAGGAGCGCAGGGTGGTGGAGGAGATGGAGCAGCGGCGCCAGGCGGCGCTGGAGGAGCTGGAGGTGGGGCTGGGTGGGGTGGGGCGGCCACCTGGTGATCTGCTCTGTCCCGGCATGGAGAGGCCAGTCTCCAGGGAGAGCAGCAGGCGCTGAAAGACCAAGCTCCTGCTGTGCCCGCCTGCCTGCCCGCCTCTGCACATCGCAGGAGCGGGAGCGTCGGCTCGTGGTTGAGCAGAAGCGCGGCGCCCTCACCATCCTGGACCAGCTGGCAGACAGGGAGCGGGAGCGGGCGGCCAGCGAGGAGGCGCGGCGCCGGGAGGGCGAGGAGATGAAGACCCGCATCCAGCAGCTGAGGGAGGAGGAGCAGCAGGTGCGCCCGCGCTGGCTGGCAAGGTGGCTGGCCACTGCCGCCTGCCTTCTGGGGCTTGATGCCTGGATGCGCAGGCTTGAGGGCACCGGCATGGCGACCTTCTGTTTGCTGCCCCGGTGTGCCTGCAGCGCGAGGAGGAGCGCAAGGCTGCGGGGCGTGCGCTGATGGAGGAGGTGGCGCAGGGCAATGCTGAGCTGGCGGAGCGCAAGCGCCGGATGAAGGTGGCGGAGGCGGAGGAGGCGGCGCAGATTGCAGAGTACATCCGCCAACGCGACGCGCGGGAGCAGGTGCAGGGGGCTGGTTGAGTGGGTTTGGCATGCTTGCATGTGCGCCTGCGCTGTGCTTGGGGTGCCGGGCGGCCGTCCACGCGCCTCAGCCCTCCCTTTGCCGCCTGCCTGGGCGCAGGAGCTGGCTGACGAGCGCGAGCGGGTGGCCAGGGCCAAGGAGGTGGAGGTGGCGCGCCTGCGGGCGATGCAGGAGAAGATCCTGGACAACCGCTCCGCGCAGGCACGGTTGCGCGGCTGCCTGGCTGCCTGCCTGCTGGGAAGGCCTGGGCTGGCCTGGGTGTGGGGCAGGACGGCAGCGTGCTGCAGCGTAGCATGCTGCCGGGTAGACGGCACGCGGCTTGGGCCTGGGCTTGAGCCACCGCACGCTGCGCTGCGCCGCACCTGCTGCGCCCGGTGCTGCAGGACGAGGCGCGTGCCAAGCGGTACCAGGATGAGCTGGAGATGGCGCAGCGGGGCAGGGAGGCTGCGGAGCGCGAGAAGCGGCAGGCGATGCAGCGTGACCTGGAGGCGTCGCGCGTGGCGCAGATGGCGCGCAAGGCGGCGCAGCGCGCCGAGGCGGCCCAGGTGGAGCATGCCGAGTTTGAGCGCATCCTGGCGGTGAAGCGGGGGATCCTCAGGCGGGAGCACGTGGAGGTGGGTGGGTGGGTGGGGTGGGCGGGGCTGTGCAGCTCAACACACACGACAGCT